AGACAGTGGACTTGGTACATTTTCAAGCGTTTCGCCGGCATCGTAGTCGGCTAGTGGAATGTAAACAAGTGAGAAGTTGTGAGAGGACGGTAGTGGGACAAGCAAGATATGAATACCAAAATGGCGTGACCCTCGGTATGGTTGCAGTCTCCTTTCGATTTATGTAAGTGGGTCGATCTCGTCTTCGCAACTTGGTCTTGTTGTCAAGGCGACGCACCTAGTTCGAAGTAGTCTGCCATAGCAGTTATCATAATTCCCAGCATCAATCAGACAGTGGACTTGGTACATTCTCAAACGTTTCGCAGTGAGTGCTGCTGTTCTTCGCGCCAAGCTACGAACTCGTCAAAGAGACAAGTGAAGTCAATCCCTCGACAAACGTTCTGGCGAAAACGGTTACACCATCACTTCTCTTTCTGTCCTAACCTAACTATCTACTTTTTATTAGGGGGACCTTCAGCATGCCACTTAAGATTCAATTGATCTTCATAGTTGGGTCCTTGTTTAGTTTACGATATGTGGTCCTGTCTGATAGAATATGTTCCATCTTCTCGGTATATTGTCTTTTGTCTACTATCACTGTAGCTCCCCCTTTTCCGCCTGAAGGACTAATTGTTTATTCGTCTCCAGGATTTCTCGTATCCCAGCAAATCTGTTCCAGTGTGTAGGCTCCTGATGTGTCAAGATCTTTGGAATTAGTTCCATCTCCATTTACCGTTTTGTCTCCTCAGGGAACTTGTCGGCGATATTGATAACCTCCACCAGGATGTCTCCGAGAAGGCTTCTGTGATGTTGAATTAAAAAATTGAGTCCTTTTTCCAAGAACGCCGTAGTTTCGGGATTGAGAGGAATTGACGATAAGTTTAATACTTTCCTCCTATCGCCGTGCTGATCAGTAAGTGTTGTCACCTCGGAAGCCACTTCAACTGGACGTACTGACTTTAACTTAGGCTGCCTAAAAATCCCAAACTTAAGCGATTTATCATCATGCCGTTTTGTTATTAAGTCAGAAATCCTACGTGATTTCCTGTCGGTCATGCTCTGCATTTTTTAAAAATCTTCCGGAGACAGTATCCTGGCCAAACCACGCCGGAGCTTTGAATTAATATCTATAAACTTAAACAACTTTTTCAGTTCTGTATCATAAGTCTCACTTAGTTTCTGAAGAGAAGCCTGGTGAAGATTCTCATTAACCTTATCCGACTGGTAGGGTCTCTTAAGGTCTCTTTAGCATAAACTAGCCTAATTGTGGAAGACTCCAGCCTAGGAAAGAGGCGTAACTATTTTCGATTACATATTTTTATTCGGCATTATGAGCTCCTAAAGTAAGTCTCAAACCATTTTCCTAATTAGGGACATTTACTACAAGAGGGTTCACCACATGTGTTGCTAATAGGCAAGTATTATGCTTCATGAAAACATGATGCGGAAAATGGATTTGTAATATCCGGCGCAGAGTGTACACATCTATTTAAAACCCCTGAAAATCCCGATAGTAATTATAAATAGTTTTTACCCAAGTCATGCATCTATAGACGCAAATATTTTACTGGACTCTGATCATTCGGGGAAATAATTTGATTCTAAGCAGGCCTGAATTTCATTGTTCCTCTCGATATTTGAGCTAAATAAATCTCTACTTAATTAGAAAGCGCAGGATTCCAGGTAAAAATATTAACTGACATGGTATGTTTCCCGCAGAGTTGCGTCTGATTTTGACTAGAGTCAATGCTCAGTAATCATCGCGAAGATAATATGAGAATAAAA